ATAATTGAAGAACTAGAGGACACCAAATGAAATTAATGGGTAGCAGGTTTAAAACAAATAAAAGAAAGTTCTTCACACAGCGCACAGTCAACCTGTGGAACTCCTTGCCAGAGGAAGCTGTGAAGGCTAGAACTGTGACAGAGTTTAAAGAAGAGCTAGATAATTTCATGGAGGTTAAGTCCATCAATGGCTATTAGCCAGGCTGGGTAAGGAATGGGATCCCTGGCCTCTGTCTGTCAGAGAGCGGAGATGGATGGTAGGGGAGGCATCGCTAATGTGTTATCTCCAGGATAGGGCTGATGAATACTGACATATTTTGTTCTGTGGGTTGATGATTGAAATTGGGCACTAAATTCACTTTGTAATTTATGAAGAAATAAAAAAAAAATCACGCAATTTATTTTTGGTGCAGCTAGAGAATATAAGAAAAAGGCTGATTTTTTTTTTTTTTTAAAGCATGTAAAATGTGGCAAAGTTTAACTTTTTAGATTAGATTGCTAAATCAACACTGAGGGGTCTGTCTGTCTGCCTGTCTGCCTGACTGCTCTGTTTGCTCTGTCTGTCTGCCTGACTGCTCTGTCTGTCTGTCTGCCTGACTGTCTGCTCTGTCTGTCTGTTTGCTCTGTCTGTCTGCTCTGTCTGTCTGTCTGCCTGACTGCTCCGTCTGCTCTGTCTGTCTGTCTGTCTGTCTGCCTGACTGCTCTGTCTGTCTGCCTGCTCTGTCTGTCTGTCTGCCTGACTGCTCTGTCTGCTCTGTCTGTCTGCCTGACTGCTCTGTCTGTCTGTCTGCCTGACTGTCTGACTGCTCTGTTTGCTCTGTCTGTCTGCCTGACTGCTCTGTCTGTCTGTCTGCCTGACTGCTCCGTCTGCTCTGTCTGTCTGTGTGCCTGACTACTCTGTCTGTCTGTCTGCCTGACTACTCCGTCTGTCTGTCTGCCTGACTGCTCCGTCTGCTCTGTCTGTCTGTGTGCCTGACTGCTCTGTCTGTCTGCTCTGTCTGCCTCCCCCATCTCTGGCTCCTCCTTCCCTGCTCCCTCTGTTTGTTTCCCTTCTTCCTTCCTGCCCCCATCGCCCCCTTTGCCCGGCCACTGCCTCGTGCTCCCTCACTCCTGCTCGCCCTGGCTCTCCTGCAGATACTTGATCATCGAGAACTTCATCCCTCCGGAGGAGAAGAACAAGATCATGAACCGCCTGTACTACGACTGTGAGGAGGACCAGTGGAAGTTCCAGCCGCTTGTGGCCGTTTGGGGAGGGGGCAGCGCCCCCTAGTGGCTGCAGGGAGTGGTTTCCGAACGGAGAGCATTAGCAGTCTGGGATGCAGGAGCGGGCGGAGGCTGTTGCTGCCTCCTGGCGCAGAGACCTCCCTTCCCCCCACGGCCCCGTGGCGC